CGGTATTGAGTACGGCGACTACTCGACAGCCATGGGCCGCGGCACTGCTTGCCCCAACGCTGCGGAGATCTCCCGCATGGGCTGGGCCACACCCGCGGTCGGAGGTGACCAGCTGAACAGCAGTGCCTTGCTGCCAGGCACTACGAAAACCTTTGTGCTGCCTGCCACCTACCTCACCGGCAGCAACAACTACCTGCGTGTCACACCCGACTGGCTGAGTATGTACAACGACTCAAAGTCAGCTCTGAACCTGTACATGGCTGTCCGAGTAGCAAGGGAAGGCGATGCTGGCTTAGGACAATCATACGCTTCCAAGGTTAACATTCATGAAGTAAATGCGACGATGGTGAGCGGTGCCTCCAAATACCTATCACGAAACGTTGGATGCGATATTTGTAATTGGTTTTGGGTGTCGAAAGCAGGCATGGATATTTCGCTACTGCAGTGCAAACTATCTAAGTGATATTTCGCTACCGGCACGTGCACTGATATTTCGCTACCGGCACGTGCACTGATATTTCGCTACTGCAATGCAAACTATTTAAGCGTTTTTTCTACTGTTGCTGCATGCAGGATAATGGCTTACCAAACCTCTATGCAAACAGCGACCGCAAAATCCAGTTCATCAACGCCGTCAGCCCCATGTCCCAGCTGACCTTGGATGTCTACAACCTAGTCGTGTATGGGGGATCATGGGTCGATACGGACACCTTGAGGGTGCACCTCTGCCGATTTAAGAACTCGCCTTTTGAGTGTCCTTCCCTCGGCGACCTGGAAGCCCAGCCACCTCCGCCCCTTTCCCCGCGGCCCCCGAGCCCGCGACCTCCTAGACCTCCACTGCCAAGGCCACCGTCACCTCCTTCCCCCCAGCCACCTGTGCCACCACCACCTCCTTCCCCCCAGCCACCTGTGCCACCACCACCTCCTTCCCCCCAGCCACCTGTGCCCCCCCCACCCCCCAGCCCTCCACCCCCTAGCCCTCCACCCCCCAGCCCGCCACCCCCCGGCCCGCCACCGCTGAGTCCACCGCCCCCACCTCCCACACGAATAGGTAAGTTTGCCTTCCTTGCTTGCCTTGTTGGCTCATGCAAGCTCCGCACTCGTTTCTGGCCACCAGCAGACCATTATCAATCCAGGGCTGATACTCTAGAGTAAATGAAAGATCTTTCATTTCGTGTAAGTATAGGAAGGTAAGGTGTGCAGGGTAGTGTGGGAATCCAGCTAGTGCGGTGGTAGACCTAGGTGTGCAGGGTAGTGTGGGAATCCAGCTAGTGCGGTGGTAGACCTAGGTGTGCAGGGTAGTGTGGGAATCCAGCTAGTGCGGTGGTAGACCTAGGTGTGCAGGGTAGTGTGGGAATCCAGCTAGTGCGGTGGTAGACCTAGGTGTGCAGGGTAGTGTGGGAATCCAGCTAGTGCGGTGGTAGACCTAGGTGTGCAGGGTAGTGTGGGAATCCAGCTAGTGCGGTGGTAGACCTAGGTGTGCAGGGTAGTGTGGGAATCCAGCTAGTGCGGTGGTAGACCTAGGTGTGCAGGGTAGTGTGGGAATCCAGCTAGTGCGGTGGTAGACCTAGGTGTGCAGGGTAGTGTGGGAATCCAGCTAGTGCGGTGGTAGACCTAGGTGTGCAGGGTAGTGTGGGAATCCAGCTAGTGCGGTGGTAGACCTAGGTGTGCAGGGTAGTGTGGGAATCCAGCTAGTGCGGTGGTAGACCTAGGTGTGCAGGGTAGTGTGGGAATCCAGCTAGTGCGGTGGTAGACCTAGGTGTGCAGGGTAGTGTGGGAATCCAGCTAGTGCGGTGGTAGACCTAGGTGTGCAGGGTAGTGTGGGAATCCAGCTAGTGCGGTGGTAGACCTAGGTGTGCAGGGTAGTGTGGGAATCCAGCTAGTGCGGTGGTAGACCTAGGTGTGCAGGGTAGTGTGGGAATCCAGCTAGTGCGGTGGTAGACCTAGGTGTGCAGGGTAGTGTGGGAATCCAGCTAGTGCGGTGGTAGACCTAGGTGTGCAGGGTAGTGTGGGAATCCAGCTAGTGCGGTGGTAGACCTAGGTGTGCAGGGTAGTGTGGGAATCCAGCTAGTGCGGTGGTAGACCTAGGTGTGCAGGGTAGTGTGGGAATCCAGCTAGTGCGGTGGTAGACCTAGGTGTGCAGGGTAGTGTGGGAATCCAGCTAGTGCGGTGGTAGACCTAGGTGTGCAGGGTAGTGTGGGAATCCAGCTAGTGCGGTGGTAGACCTAGGTGTGCAGGGTAGTGTGGGAATCCAGCTAGTGCGGTGGTAGACCTAGGTGTGCAGGGTAGTGTGGGAATCCAGCTAGTGCGGTGGTAGACCTAGGTGTGCAGGGTAGTGTGGGAATCCAGCTAGTGTGGTGGTAGACCTAGGTGTGCAGGGTAGTGTGGGAATCCAGCTAGTGCGGTGGTAGACCTAGGTGTGCAGGGTAGTGTGGGAATCCAGCTAGTGCGGTGGTAGACCTAGGTGTGCAGCTCACATACCTGCAGAAATGAACAGGAATACCACTGAACCCCACAACATCTGCAAGCCTTCTGCCCTCGCATATTTCGTTGATCACTTCAGGTCTCATTCGTTCCTTCTTCCATGCATGACCCACACACACGCACAGCAGGCGGGTGTGTTTGGTGTGGCTAGTGACAGCTAGCTGGCTTCCTTAATTTTATTGATGTTGCGTGCATGCATGCTCAGGTCCGACATACAAAGTAAAAAATGAAAGTTTAAGTTGCTCCGGGTGGGACCATGAAGCCTAGCACGTATTAAGGGATTCAACGATGAAAGGGTTCCAACATACAGTCCACATTGGCCGCCATCAGTATTTTGTCACGCAGGAATCACTATGCCTGCGGCCCATGTTGCCGTCCACTTGCACGTGGTTGGAAGTAAATCCAACCTGTCCTCAGACACCATCTTAATAAAGCCCACATTTCAGGGTAATTTAATAGTATTAGGGTGCATTTCCAGTGCGGATTAAGGCCAGGGATTAACCCTCTGTCCTCAAACGGCTAAGTTGTTGGCAAACTTACCTCGCCTTTTCAACCTTTGGTTCCCGTACGGAACAAAACTATGTGGTAAGCTCATACCAAGGACTTCCGGAAGTCCGTGCCCTAATGCCTGGCCTTAATCCGCACTGGAAATACACCCTTATTTGTAGTAGTTGTAGTAATTACAACATAAGGAGTTTTTCTTACAATAATTAAATTGTAAAAATATAAAACAATCAAGCCACAGCCGCACAAGCATCATTGCTCCCGAAATCAAGCACCACGCAGCTACAAACAGTGGTGACTACTGGTTGATGTCATCCCTAACACGCAACGCGCCAACCGTATATCCCCCCATCCCCGCGGCATACTGGCGGTTGTGGGCATTTTGCGATGTTGCCTGAAAATTTTGAACAGAAGGGATCACTGCTCATGCTGGTGCAGCAAGACATGTAAGGAGATGGCCTGGTCACAATCCAGCAGTCATGTATCGACAATCTCAAGCTATGACAACTTGTTACATGTGTCTGTAATAAAAAAGGGACTTTGCGATGGTGTGGGGAGCTCTTTGAGTGGTGGGACTGTGGAAATCCAGTTTGTTTCGCCCGTAACAAGTTTGTTACGGGCGAAACAACGTCCCTCTGAAACGTTTGGATATGCCTATGCAACACATTTCCTCAATTTCATGAACTGCAAGTATTCTAATCCGACATCACCCCAATCTCAGTGTAAACTAGTCTCCAAATGTGCCTGCACAAGACTGTCACCCCTGTCACCCGGCATTCACATTGCCTTAACCTCCTCAAGCTTGTCGGGGTGTGACACGTGGGCATGAACCTTGTGACAATGGGCATTGTCACAAAGAAACTGGTTGCAATCAGAAATGCATTTTTGCTCATGCCAGGTTACCGACATCGGTTACCGATTACTGGATACGGTTAACCGATAACGGTTCGCCCGGTAATCCTACCGACCGGTTACCCATCTCGTTAACTGGACCCGTTAGGTCGGAACCGGGCCGGAACCGGCCTGGAGTATGCCATTGGGCGAATAATCGGAATGGCGGATGGACGTGGCGGAATGGCGGATAGACGTAAAACGAATAGAAGTGAAGTCAGAGCGTTACCGAACTTGGACCCGGATCGTGGTATGTGGGATCCGGATCGTGGTTTGTAAGCAACGACACCAGCCGTACCTCCACACGGCCCTCTCGCCGTGCTCGTGCGTGGTACAACATATTTGCTTCTCCGTGTCCCGCAGCTAGGAAAAGTACATATTGGCGACATACAACAACACACCTCGTACTAATATTCTTTCGTGCTTTTTACCATGGTGCCATTTGCGACACCTTTAGGGTGCTCCCATCACGAGTCTGTCTGGGGGTTCACGACCCGTAGAGTGCACTAATGGTCGCAACGCCCGTGTTACAAGTGCAGACTCCATGTACATATATGTGTATATGTTTATACGTATATATGTATATGGGTAGATAGGGAAATTATGAAAATTATGCGGTGGGCAGGGACATACTAGCCCCACGCTTCCCCACACACGTGTTCCCCTTGTGTGTTATTCTTCCCAGCTGTCTATACAAACAAGTGGTGATGGCGGGTGTGCCTTAAATGTGTGCGTGCAGGCTGTATTGAGCTTGCGAATGCAACCACTTCCGTCTGGGGCACAGCCAACATCGGGCCTGGCAAGCCTTTCACGGACACACAAGCCAAGTGGATTTGGTCACATGCTGGTGCGGATCTGGGCACGTCTTCCGGCGTGAGGACGACCATTTCCACCACAGTGACCGCTGCGGCGCCAGGCACACAGACCTTGCTTCACCTCATCGTTGAGAATTTTGCAGACGTGTACCTTAATGGAGCTTTCGTTACCAGGCTGACAGGGGGCTGGAGGAACCAGCAGGAGTACACCAACCGGCCCCTCCAACTTACCCTAGCCGCTGGCACCAACACGCTCTCCGTGGCCGCCTATGGAGCTTCATATGGGGGTCGAGCTGGTTTGCTGGCCTCCCTCACCAGCAGTGATAGCACAACCGTACTGGCCCGCACCAGCAGCGACTGGACCTGCAGCGTGGACGTGGTTGGAAGTCGAAGTAAGTTTCGGCTTTAGTTCAGCTGCTCGATAAACGAACAAGGGTAGCGGGATTTAGATCTACTCGTATAAACGGAGTCCTCTCCATGCATGCCGTACGTATGTTACTACGTGAATGCATCTGTATCTGTATCTGTATCTGTATCTGTATCTGTATCTGTATCTGTATCTGTATCTGTATCTGTATCTGTATATCTGTATAGTTACAAGTTACAAGTGCCGCACGAGTGCGGGGGGGTCCGTCAAAGCCGGGAGGCCATGGACTATATATATTGAAAGTTGATTACACTGTACGACCGACGGCGGTTTGGGTCCTGCCATCTAGACCCCTCCTCATCCAGTAACCCAACATCCGTAGAGACAGATCAGCTACCACCACCATCTCAGCATGCGAAACTTAGTCCATCAACAAGACCTCATCTCCACACCTCAGCAGTATATCTGTATATCTGTATATCTGTATATCTGTATATCTGTATATCTGTATATCTGTATATCTGTATATCTGTATATCTGTATATCTGTATATCTGTATATCTGTATATCTGTATATCTGTATATCTGTATATCTGTATATCTGTATATCTGTATATCTGTATATCTGTATATCTGTATATCTGTATATCTGTATATCTGTATATCTGTATATCTGTATATCTGTATATCTGTATATCTGTATATCTGTATATCTGTATATCTGTATATCTGTATATCTGAT